GTAAAATGAGGAAAAGAGTAATACTCCATGATGTGGTTGTAAGGATAGAATGAGACAAGCTACACAAAGAAATTAGAACAATGACTGACAATATAGAATCAAGAATTTATTAGTAGTAATAGTAGTTAGTATGGCAACTAATTTGCTACTAAAAGTGTAAAACCCAGGATACCTTTGTGTCGTACAGGAACAATGCACTCTCCATGAACCAAAGCTCTGAGCCATTATGTATGCTATGCTACCTCTTAATGCTATTACACAAAAAAGTATACATCACTGTGTGGCTAAATATTTACATATTTTTGTGTCCTATCTCAATTTTCTTCCTTTGCACAAACGTTGTGAATTTCAAGAAATTGCTTTGGAACTCTTTATCCTTGTCTTTGTTATCCACAAACACTTCTTAGGGAGGATGTTTGAAGCTGTCCTTCTTTCAGTGAAAAAGGAAAACCTATCAGTTGTTGCAACTTATTTAGATATGCACTGACTTTACCAACATTTGGTTATTCTCACTGAAACAGAAAATACACGTAAACATAATTTTATTTTTTATGACTTTTATTCTTAGATTCTATTACAATGTATCAGTCTCAAGTATAACTACAATATAATTTATAACAAACTGAAACATCTTGAGCATTCATAGATCTATGAAATTTGTAAAGAATTCCATGTAAACAGTTTTATTATATTCATGGCTATTTATTTTCATGAAGCAATTCTTGATTGTTTTTCCTCAAGAATTTAATAACATAATAAACCACAGATATTTTTTAAAAATTGGTGGACTTTATTCATAAGTCCTAAACCCAGGCCAATTCCCTGGCCATCCTAATTTAGTTGGCTCTTCTTTCAGTACGTAATTAACATTTCTCCGAAATAGCTATTTAGAACTGCTTTATTTACATATGCATTTTATTTTCACTGTTTTTAATAAAGCTATCAAACTTCTATAAAATCACGCTAAATATTTGGGTTGCAATGTTCAATAATCAGCATTTAAAAGCAGCTCATAAGTCACCCAGGTCTTTTGCAAACTAGGTAACTAACAAAAAGCTAAAATTAGATTCTCTAATTTTCATTCGTATTGAGTGTATAGATTTGTGTTCAAAACTGTTTGGGGCAAAGTGCCTCATGCCTGTAGTCTCAGCATGTTGGCAGGTCATGGCAGTAGAACCACTTGAGGCCAGGAGTTTGAAACCAGCTGGGGCAACATAGCAAGACCCCTTCTCTACAAAGATTTAAATATTAGTGAGGCATGGTGGCATGCACCTGTAGTCCTAGCTACTTTGGAGGTGGAGGCAGGAGGGTTGCTTGAGCCAAGAGTTGAGGCTGCAGTGAGCTATGATCATGCCACTGCACGCTAGTCTGGGTGACTGAGCTAGACCTGGTACCTTAAATAATTTTTTTAAACCCGTTTGCTTCCATTTTATTCTAATTTAAATTCTTCAGTTTAACTGTCATCCTATATTGTTGAGTGTAATAAGTTCAGTGATTATAAAATTTAAATATTAGTATGACACCACCTTCTGAAGGGTGATAAAATCAGTACAAACAGTAATCCGCATGGAAAGAGAAGTCTAATTTTACTTCAAGCTTGTACTTACCAAGCTCTTTGTTCCAAATATTGTTTTTAATTGATAATAAGTCAAAAGTAAACATTCCTGGAACAAGCATAAATATATATAAAACTTAACCATGTTATAAAAAATCATAGTTCATAGTTCATCATGAAATAGGAAAAAGAACAACTTTATATATTTTTGATATGCTAAGAAGAAATTGTGTTAACGAACCAGTTGCCCATATTATTTTTTATTTTACATAAAACAAGGTAAGGTAAAAACATTAATAGCAAATTACACACTAACCTGCCAAACATCTTTTCATACTATAAGTATTCATAATACAGTTATATTTGTGAGTTTGAAATAATGATAGCTTGAATTCAAATATAAGGTGATGTTAAATTCTTAGTTGAATGTATTAAAAAATCTTACAAATATAATATATTTTGTATAGGTCCTTAAATTATCAAAACCTATTTTCAACAGGCATGGAAGGTATGTTATGCAATGATCTATATAATCTAGGGAAACACTGCATGGTGTTTTTCATATTAAATTAAAAAGTGATTCAGATAATCTAAGATGAGTGAACAGTGGTATAAAGAATCTTTAGCCCTAGATTTATTTTTATACTTACATTAGAACAAATGTCTCAAAGTAATAACAGATGTTATAAAATATATCACAATTTAAAAACATCCTAGACTTCCTGTCTCATTCTTTAACCATAACTCTTTGTTTCTATAGGAATGTTTAAATCCTTCTTTTTAATTTGCCAGAACAACAAAATAATATGTGCTTTAAACATTTATTATATAAATGTAATTTATTATTTTTAAAATATAAAAAGCAAATTAGTGAAAGATGTTTTATATATTTGCTTCAAAACCTCCCACAAAAATATTTTAAATAAAACTACTTTCTACCTGTGTAGCTCAATTTTTGTCTGTGCATGAATAACTTTATATAAGATCTCATATTCCTGAAATAAACCCATGAAATAAAAGCATTATGGTTATTTCTTTTAAAATTATTATAAATGTTTTTTTTTTAAAAAAAAAAAAACAAAACTAGATGTCTACAGCTAATGTAAAATGAATATGTGCTTGATAAATTATAAGCCCAGGGTACCATGTTGATTGAGGCAAAATAATTCATATCACAGAATTTTAAGGAGAAGGTGACATCTTCCTCATTGTAGAAATTGAAGTATATAGGTCCAAAGGGTTACTCCCATAATTTAGAAAAATAAGTTGGTGGCAAGGGAGCAAGTTGGCAAGAATCCCTATTTGAATGCTTTTTTATTCATACTAAACACATATTTGTGTTGAAAGTCTGCCATATAATATGATTGAAAGCTTGCCAAACACAGGATGATATACAGGTGATGCAATACTGTGCCCAAGTTGTTACCTACTCAAATAAGTACCACGGTCAAACAACTAACTGCATATCAGGAAGCATTTCATCAACTTTGTTTACAGCTAAAAGGTGACTAAACAATACTGCATGAGAAAGCATGAAAATGTGACAAAAGATATTTAGAGACTATTATCAGTATTTTGGGCAGCACAATGTTAGGTTATATAAATAATAGCAAATAGAACTTTCATCAATTACTTTTTTGGTCAATTTATTTTTTTCAAGGAGCATAATATGTACTTAGAATAATTTTTCTAAGTTCTGTGGTTGTTCTATGAACAAAAAGAAGATGAAAGAAGAAAGGCTATGAAACAATACTCTAAGGGTAGGTCTTATCCTAGTTGGCATGTGAGTCAAGATGAATGAAAAGCATCTGTAGAAATGAATAGCCTCCCATAGTTTTAATCCCATGGCATTTTATAGGCACATATAAATTGGTTCTGATGTGATGTAGAATAAATTTAAGCACCTTAAAATATAGAATAACCTCTGTACATTGATAAAAAGTCAAGCTCCCTAATAATGCATTTTAACTAAACATTCATTACTAATGCCGATTACTTCTATCAAGCATTGCATTGCGAAGCCAAAGCAAAATACTTTTGTTGATTTCCAAACAATGGATAAATAATAGATTTTTCTCTCTCTCTCTCTCTGTGTGTGTGTGTGTGTGTGTGTGTGTGTGTGTGTGTGTTTATTTACGTGGGAAACATGAATACAGTCCTGTGAAAACACAACAAGGCAGATGTAAAAGTTTTCTACATGGCCTTCTGATTTATTAAATACCAAAAAATTAAATCACCTTTGTTTCCTATAATCAATAATTCCTACACACTTCTCTTACAATTCTTGTAGAATCATCAGTGCAAAAATAACCATCTGCTAATGCTGCCCACCTGTCTTAGGAAATCATAGTTAGTGATTGCACTGCCTTTGAGAATATTTTGATAAAATGGATTTTGGCATAGACCTCCTCAAAAGAGTTTTATTAACACAAATAAATCACTTTCACAGGCTGTAAACAATATACCAAAAATGAAGCTCTATTTTTTGCTTTCCTTGCTGTCTTTCCCTTTGTCTTCCTTTTCTGTTCTGTCTTGTTCATATTTCTCTTTGTCTGGCTTTGTTACACTATCATATGAAGGTGGAGAGGTTGTGGATGAAGTGGCATCTGTTTTTTCTGGACTTGAGTTCTCATTAACATTATCAAAACCCGTATCTTTTTTATTCAGTAAATCATCATCTCTGTCTCCGTCTTTTATGTATATACTTGATATATTTTTGACATTTTGCCTTAATCGGTAACTTCTATAAGCACGCTGAATGACAGTAGCTGACACATCCTCTTGTTTCCGTTTTAGTGTGGTTGTAATGGGTTCATAAGACACTTTGGAAGGATTTGCAGACATGAACCTCTCTTCCATCTGTGAACGAAGAGAATCCATCTCTCCACTTTCACCCAGAACACGCTTTGTAAAAGCAAATAAGATGTCAAGGCAGTGGATCCGGTCACCACTGACCATGGGCAGATCCATGGCAATGAGCTGGACTTTGTTGGGTTTTGCTATGAGAAGAGGAGGATCCAAGGCAGCTGCAAAATCAGAGAGCTTGCTGTATTCTATAAACTGAGTTGCATCTGGATCAAACTTTTCCCAAACTTCATAAAACATTTCAAAGTCATCCTCACTCAGAGGTTCAGTACTTTCTTCAGTGGCAACACTAAAATTCTCCAGTATGACTGCAATGTACATGTTCACCACAACCAGGAAAGATATGATGATGTAACTAACAAAGTAGAATATTCCAACAGATGGGTTACCACAGTCTCCTTCAACTGAACTTCCAGGATGAACTTTTTTGGGGTCACAGTCAGGTGGCTTACTGTTAAGAATAGGTGCTAGCAATCCATCCCAGCCAGCAGAGGTTGTAATTTGGAAAAGGCAAATCATACTGTTACCAAAGGTCTCAAAATTGAACATGTCATTAATTCCATCTTCCTTTTTAACATAGGCAAAGTTGGACATTCCAAAGATGGCGTAGATGAACATGACCAGGAAGAGCAGAAGGCCGATGTTAAACAACGCGGGAAGGGACATCATCAAAGCAAAGAGCAGCGTGCGGATCCCCTTTGCTCCTTTGATCAGACGCAGGATTCGGCCAATCCTGGCAAGACGGATCACTCGGAACAGGGTAGGGGACACAAAATACTTTTCAATCATATCAGCCAGAAACATACCTGTGTGTGGAGGGAAATAATAGAAATAAAATATTTAAATATCTATGCTACATAAAATGATGACTCTAAACAGTTTCATCTGTCATCTGATTTCTTATGAATTCAAGACTTATTTTATGCTGAATGCAATTACTTAACAAAGGATTAAGAAGTTCCAAAGAAAAATGACTAACATTACCACTGCAACGTTTTCTCCTCTTTACTAAGTTCATGGGCTGTTTTTTCCTCCATAATAATTTTTAAATTATAAGAATACCTACTCATATAGATAATTCGAGCAATAAAGTTGAATGCTAAAAAGAAAATATAATCTGAAATGTCACCAAAAATAACTATTGTCAGTAATTTTTGAGTATCACTTCAGATATTTTTCTGTGCAAGCATATGTACACACACAGTTGTATTCATGTTATAAAAACCTTTCTTTGATATTTATTTATTTATTTTTCAAGACAGAGTCTCACTCTGTCACCCAAGCTAGAGTGCAGTGGCATGATCTTGGCTCACTGTAAACTCCACCTTCTGGGATCAAGTGATTCTCCAGCCTCAGCCTCCTGAGTAGCTGGGACTACAGGCATGCAACACCACACCAGGTTAATTTATATTTTTTGGTAGAGATGAGTTTTACCATGTTAGCTAGACTGATCTCAAATGCTTGACTTGAAGTGACACCCCACCCCGGACTCCCAATGTGCTGGGATTACAGGCATGAGCCACTGTGTCCAGACTGTAACCTATTTTAAACACTTTATATGTCATGGAGATATTCCCATATAAATAACAAAATAATTTATTATAGTTATATAATGTTCTCTCAAAATAGCCGCAAATTGAAGAATAACATTTATACTGTTTCCATTTTTGTTACTGAAATGAATATCTAAATAGGTATGTTCTCCTAATTGTATGAGTATTTTTAAACAATATATTACTGGAACTTGGGTCAACAGTATAAATAAATATATATACATTTATATTACATGTATATGTAATATACATTATATATATTGCTATTTATATAAAATATATTACATATATAGTAATATATAATATATAGTAATGTATATTACTATATAGAAAAAATACATATATAATATATATTACCATATATCTTATATATAAATATATATATATTTTATATAAAAAAGTGACATATATATTACTATAAGAAGTACTATATCTTCTTCATAGTTTTTTTTTTTTTTTTTTTTACCAAAAAGTCTTTATGACATTTCCAAACATATACTATTGGAATTTATTTGCATTTTTGGGAAAATAATCCATAATTTTTCTTGTTTTTTTCTTATTTTATATCCTTATTGGTTATTTTCAACTTCTGTTTTTGACCTAGTTTGGTATTTGCCCATGTGTCTATTGGGACTTTTATTATTTTCTTTTTAATTTATAAGAACAATTTTCTATTTAAAGTATTGATCTTTTCTTGGCCTTATCTTTTACATAAACATTTCCCTACTTTTTATCTTTCAATCTTTTATGATGAATTTTTCCCCAAAGAATATTTTGTCTTTTTTATGTGGTCATTTCTTTCTTTTTTGCTTTACAAATTGTGTTATGAAGAGAAAGAGATATTAGAGCATATGGTTATTATCTATTTCCATGTATTTCCTACTAGAATCCTTTTTGTTAACTTTAGTCTTTGATTCACGTGATCTTTTCACTCAGTAAATTAGTAATTATACATTAAAGATTAATTTTGACTCTATTCAAATCCATTGAGCTAATATATTTGAACAGTTTTACTTAGCATCAATATTATAAGTCTTAGTATCCAGCAGAATAAGCCACCTTTCATCACCCTAATTTTCTTCCAAATGAATTTAGAATCATTTAGACTTAAATTGTCAATTTATTACCCCCACCACATAAAAAGACTCATTGATCTTTTCATTAAATTTATAGATTAATAAATTAAAAAGTCTTAATTAAAATGAGAGAAGCTTATCTTCTTTAAAAAATTATTATACTTTAATTTCTGGGGTATAGGTGCAGAATGTGCAGGTTTGGCCCTCTTCAAGGAGTGAAGCTTATCTAAGTACATGATAATCCTTTCAATTGTTTCAGCTTTCATTATATTCTAAAGTTTTCTTCAGAATATGATAAAGTTATTGGATATTTTACTTTACTTTTACTTCAATAGTGAATAAGGTTTTTTAATTTATTAGTGTTGGTACATGTAATTTAAAATTTCTACCTTTTGAATTCTAATTGAATCTCTTTTTAGTTGATTCTCTTTCTTTATATGAAAGTCATTCATTATATGAAGAAGTTCATTCATTATATGAAGAAAGTGATTATATGATATCTGCTCCATTGTTTGGATATATGTACCTGTTTGTTTTCTTATCTAATTGCATTGGCCAACGCTATTAAAAAACAGAGCTAATACAGGGATACTCTTTTTTCCTTCTTGACTTAATGGGAATGCTTTCAGAATTAGTGTGAAATTCTCATCTAAATTTTAATTCATTTTCTTATATGTTAATTTTGGTACCACTTCTAGGGAAAACAACCTTTTAAAAAATACTGATTTTTTAAATGCTTATTCTGTTATGTGGCACTCAATTGTATGCAACCTTTTACCTTTCCAGATTGATAAAATTTGTAGCAAATAATCTCTATATACAACCCTAAAATACTTTGCAAGATGTGTGAAAATAGTAGGAAAAAAAAAGACAAAAACAGCCATGGCAATGAATTTGTAGGAAGCATAAAATCATGTGCTATTATTCACAGGCATGACCATGGCTGGCTGAGAAATGTTTGACATTTTATACACTTGTGAAGTATTAAATCTTAAAAAATAAAACTGGCATTTCTAGAGACCTTAACTTCACTTTAAATTCTGGAAGAATTTCCACAAATTCACAGATATTCTGGCTACTAATACTATCATTAATCAAATGACAAGTCTCACATGTACTAAAATCAGTAGTGTTTTCAGATTAAACATTGATTTTCCGAGACACCGCTATATATAAACATGGTAACTAGCTTTGCAAAGGTAATATTAGAAACTAAATGCCAACAAGTGTATAATTTCCTCCTAACAGATAGAAACATTTGGCTTTCATGCCTATCGTGTAAACCCAGAAACACTGTGATATGATAGACACATATGTTTTTGTTTTGTTTTTAAGATTTTTTCATTCTTTCATTATACAGAGTTAAGAGTAAATTTGCATTCAAGAATTCAGAGACTTTCTTGAGCATAAGTGAAATTTAGCTTTACTCAAAAAATAAAATCTGAATAATAAATGGTCTTACCTACAATGGAGATAATCACAACCACAAAATCAAAAATATTCCATCCTACAGTGAAGTAGTACTGTCTGAGGGAAATCAGTTTTAGCACACATTCTCCAGTGAAAAGGATTATAAAAACCACATTTATCCAATTTAAAACACCAGTCATATATTCACTTTGATCCTCCTTTTCTACCATCATTGTTACCATGTTGAGACAGATAAGAACCATGATAGAGATATCAAATGCTTGATTTGTCACTAGGTCAAATATACATCCTTGGAATTTGTTCTGCAAAGAAACAAGAAAAATATTGAATTGCAGCGTAAACTTTTAGAGTAGTATCTAGAAATTAATGATGAGCATTAAAAATGAATTAGAAATAATTTGAAAATGTGTATGCTAAAGACACACACACACACACACACACACACACACACACACCCACACACTCGTTTTTTTTTTTTTTTGGTGGTATTTTTTCTTTTTTTCTTTTTACCCCTGGTCGAGGAATTGGCTTTTGTGGCTTCTTCGACCCCAACTTTTTCATTGCATTATAGTATTTCTTCTGTTCTTCTGTCATAAAGATGTCTTGACCTCCAAGGTAAAAACACAAAAAATAAAAATAGTTAAAACCAGAATCATTGTCTAGATTTTTCTATAGATCATTAAGATAGGTTAAAATGTTTTAATATAGAAATAAAATGTATTATGTTCATGGTAGTTATACATAAAATATATCTTAAATAATTACATATGTGTAGAAACATGGGCCTCCAAACATAGTTCAATGTGCATATGTAAAATATTTGTATTACCTATAATAAGGACTGGCTCAGTTTTCTTTTTGTGTGCCAACCAGCGTTGTTTTAAACTGTGTACTTACATCTTTTTTTTATCTGATAGCTGTCTTACTACAAATTATATTGCTAAATAACAAATGTAATAAGAAAAGTTATAAGAATTAAAAGTAATGAATATTTTCTTTGATTGGCTAATATTTAGAACTTTTATACAGAATAAAGACTACAAATCATAACCAAAATTGTATTAATTTTATATTCATCTTAATATACCATTATTCTTTTAACAAAAAAAGCATATAAAATAAAAGGATAATATACATTTTGATATCTCTATTTGAAGAAACTCTTTGACTACCTCTTTAAATAAAGGATTTCAATGTAAACACTTTATTGAATGTCAATATTATGCTTGATAGAGTTCTAGGTACTGAGGAAGTTATCAATTATCAGACCCAAACTGAAGGACTTTCCAACTGATTATGTAAAAGAAATTATAACCTTTAAAATTCAATAGTAAAAACCTAACATCTAAATGAAGCTTTTGACTGGAAAAGCCTAAATCTCACAAAGGAGGCTAGAAGCTTCGGTTGTTCCCTTTGTTCTCTGCTAATTTCTTAAATTATCTGTAATTTTTACATATTTATGTATATTCTATATTCGTTGGTAATTTCACCTTTTTTAGTCACAGCATAAATTACTATAATGCATATGACTGAGAATTTATTTTCAAGGATTTATGGTTCCTAGATTCTTACTTAACTTGTCGAGTCGTGGAATGAACGATGGTCTTGTTACGGTTTCCCTTTATTCTCTTGGATTTGGTAATATTCAGCTTCCTCTTATTTAATTTTTTAAAATTCTGTTTGCTGTTGAATGAGAAGCTTCCCATTATATTGTATTTTCTCATTTATCAAATACCTAATGTTAACCAGACTTCCCTTTCTGCCTTATAGTATTTTTGTTGTTGCTACTGCTGTTGT